CGTGGTCAATATCAACGTGGTCATACACAACGTGGTCGATATTAATGTGGTCAATCGGGACTGTGGTCAATATTAACGTGGCCAAACGGGTGCCACTCGAAAAATATATATCATTTTTAATTAACAATTTAATATACAAATATAAAGATTCAAGAACTTAAATGCCTTATTTGAAATATAAAAATGTATACGGTATTTGATGTATCTCTTTACAGATCTCATAAAGTCGTCACTAACCTGCATAATAGACAGTTTTGCGGGAAACATTGTACGATGCTTTCGATATGCTGAGCAAACATTTAACAATTGTTGTTTCTGGTAAATCTTCATCCAATAAGGCAATGCGCAATAAAATATTATACCGTCCATCATCACGTAGTGTTATAGTGGGAATTCCAGATTGTTTCTCCAGAGTATTTCTGTAATATTAATGCGACATGATATCACTATGAAGATTGATGTAATAAAAAATAACATTTATATTTTAAGAAATATATATTTTTATTTCTTCTTCTAAAATATATAATATATTTTATATGTATATAAAAACAACAGAAAAATATAGATTTGTGTACAATTGTGTGTGCATGCGTGCGTGCGTGCCAATATAAATTTCTTAAAAAGAGCTTACTTGATGAAGATATTCAAAGTTGGTTGAGGATAAAGTCCTTCAGCGATACACGTTATTTCAACTCCATCTTTATCATCTATAACTTTTTTTCTATACGCAAGTTCAAATTTTTCTTCTGTAGCTGTAACAAAATTAGATATAATATATTGCTTATGAATGATACTTTTGAAATAAAAAGGTAAGATAGGGTCTCAAATATGGCCCCCCAATTATATGTTTATTTCCATAAGTTCTATAAAATGTGCCATTGACTACCCATTGGTAAATATTTCCATTATATAATATATTACCTAACTGAACACACTGTTCAATTCTAGATATGCTATATCAGTAAAAAAAGTGAAACCTTGCAAATTTTCGAAATTGGAAAAATCATGAGGTCCTTTTTGAAACATCGTTTTAAACAAATAAATACAAATAAATGGATAAGTGAGCCATTTCTACGAATTAAAATAAATTTTTTATTAAATAAGTTCTAAAGGGCGATAAATAAGTATAGTGTCCCTGAACTGTCGTCTTCCTAATTAAATTCTTAGACGATTTTTTCTTTACTACAATTTTCCTTTTCTCCGAAGCTTAGTTGTTGAATTATAAAAAGAAATAGTTAACGAATGACGGGCCGTGTATAAAAGGCAGACAGGGATGGCGTACGGCACAACTCACCGCGAGCTCTTACCCGAGGCACTCAGCTGATCGCTGCACATGATACATAATACACACATACGCACACGCACCCACACACACACACGCACACGCACACGCAAACGCACACACACGCACGCACATGCACACACATACGCACACGCACTCACATACACACACACTGATGCCAGCCGAGAAAGTTTGCCCAGTTGGAGTGGGGATGATCCGTTCGGCCACGCGTGCGCGCACGCTCGCAACAAGCAACGCGCCGTATACATATACGTGTGCACACGTTTAGTGGACCCCCGGGCTCCACTATTAAAGCCGAGGCGCAAATCGCGAGCTGTCGCTAAACGACAGATGAACTTAAGGAACCGGCGCGCCCGTCGTTTGGCCGCGTTAGCAGTAACAAACGCGATTTCTGATTTACCACACCCCCCTGATTCGCTCCCACAACGCTTCAACAAGAATCGCCGAACCATCTCCCCTCCCCTTCCGTCTCTCTTCTTCCTGATATTGCAATCGAGGACCTCCAACCTTCTTCTTCTTCTTCTGAAATTTCTCTTTCCCATCCTTCTCAGCTTGAAACTTCTCAGGCCGACACCTTAGACCCCCCCCCCCCCAACTCTCCGCTTCCTTCCGAACCTGTAGACAGACCTCCGTCCCCCGCTTACTCGTGCTCAAGCATCGAGTTCATCGAGGAATTCGAATCTACTCCTCCTACTCGCCCACGGATTAGCTTCGATAAATTTTTCGACCTAATCCGCGAGATCCCTCACTATACACGTTCTGTTCCACCTGGGACTTTCACTGTACGTCCCAATCATATCGATTTTAAAGAGCTACTTGACCGAATATTATCCAATTCCCCTGACCGTTGCATCCCCTTCTTTCTCCCCGGCGAATCTCTTCCCAGGCCGGTATCAATCTTATTCCTTCAGGGACTTTTTTCCCCCTTCCAGTATTAAAGTCAAAGAGCACCAATAAACTCCACTCACACATACACACTCACAAAATGTCAACAACTCTCCAACATTAACAATGTATGTACATATAATTTTAAAGAAGTTTAAGTATTATAATTAATATAAGGTTAGTTATGATTATTTCGACTTCTTTAATTATATGTATACAGGGTGGTCCCGAACGTTCCGGCTAGGCTTTGAAATTTTATAGGAAATTTAATTCTGAACAAAAAGTTTCCCATAAACATGGGTCGAAAAATGCTTCCTTAAAAAGTTAGCGCCCAAAAACCTCTGAAATCACGATTATTTTACACATTTTTTCTGCATTGTTTAAACCAATCACCATAGATGGATGGAAGGAAGAGCAAAAGGTAAAAAGAAAATGAAGTACAAAGAAAATGACATTTAATAAATTTTTTGTAAAAATAAATAAAAATAGAAAATAAAATCCTTTTCTTTCATAAAAACAGAATAATTCTTTTTAAACAAAAATAGTACTGTAATAATAGAAAACACTGCTGCAGGAACAATAGGAATACTCTGCGATACAGGATGGAAGGAAGAGCAAAAGGTAAAAAGAAAATGAAGTACAAAGAAAATGACATTTAATAAATTTTTGTAAAAATAAATAAAAATAGAAAATAAAAATCCTTTTCTTTCATAAAAACAGAATAATTCTTTTTAAACAAAAATAGTACTGTAATAATAGAAAACACTCTGCTGCAGGAACAATAGGAATACTCTGCGATACAGGATTCCAATTTAGCGCGGACTCGGGGAAAATAACCGTGATTTCAGAGGTTTTTGGGCGCTAACTTTTTAAGGGTCCTTTCTAGTTTGTTAGGTCAAAAAATAGGCAATGTTTGTGAATTTTTTGTAGAAAAAGTAAACATCGTAGAAACTAAAACCTTTTATATTGTATTTATTACACTTTAAAGTATATTTAAAAAAACTTTTAGTCAATTTTATTAATTTACTGCAGCGGAATATGGAGCAGCCAAAATCTCTGCGCGCCAACCATGGCGTCCTGGCGGAAGTTCTCCAGGTCTTAAAATTTGTCTGAAACAGCTAACACAACGATTTTTCTGTTAAGAATAAATGTAATTCTGGAATAGACAAAAAAAAATAAGTTTGAACAAAAATTGACAAAATGGCGACATTTCAAAAATAATGTTCACTTTTTGCTAAAAATTTCCGATACTTTTGTGTTGATAAAAAATAAAATATTACAGATATCGGTATAATAATGGTCTATTCCATAGAACAAACATTTTTATACATGTTAAAAAAAGACCGGATGTGATTCGTTGAAAATTGTGTGAGTTATTACTTCCGCCAAGTCGAAAAATGTGGTTTTCGGGAAAATGCGTTTAAAGTTTCAAGTTTCGCCGTATACCTGCCCGCGCACGGCTGGTTCAAAGGCTCATAACTTTAAAACCGTTACGAATTTCACTTTGTGCTTTTATCACAATATTCTACACACTTAGGGCTATCAAATTATGCAAAAAAAATTTTTTCGATTTTTTTGACCTAACAAACCAGAAAGGACCCTTAAGGAAGCATTTTTCGACCCATGTTTATGGGAAACTTTTTGTTAAGAATTAAATTTCCTATAAAATTTCAAAGCCTGGCCGGAACGTTCGGGGTCACCCTGTATACAGGGTGTATTCTAATTCGCGCCCACCATTTATATAGTGATATTTCTCATGAAAAACTGAGTCGAAGAGTCCCGAACCATTTTTTCGAGTCACGCCTCACAAAGTAGTTGTAATTATTTAAAAATTAGCGAATCCGCATCGCTTTTTAAACGGACGCACGTTCGTGAGCCACGCTAGATAACTTCTTTTCGCCTTCCTACAAAAATCAACAGTTTTATTCCTCAACTGTCTAAATACTTCCCAATCCTCCTCACTTTTACTTATACGAGCTACTTTATATGCCTCATCCCTTTGCTTTATCATCAATTGTACATCCTCACCAAACCAACACTTTCCCTGCCATTTCTGTCTTAATACTATTTTCTTCACTAGTGCTATTAAATCAACACACCCAATAATCTCTTTAACCATTAAGTTTGCTAATATATTAACACTATCTCCTTTAATCACATCCAATCTAGTACTTATCATTTCTTTAAATTTCTCTCTATCCATTCGCTTATAATTTCTACATATGATTACTTTATTTTCGTCCTCTGACTCTTTGAAATTCCAATATACTTGCAGAATGATCCGTTATCTTGGGTTCATGCCATACTATAACCTCCATTTTCACATTACCAAATATCAAATCAATTATCGTTTCTGAATTCTGTACAATTCTTATTGCCTCTTTTACCAATTGTCCTAAAGAATTCATTACTCTAATTGTTAGCGAATCTCGCTAGGAGAGTTCGCTGGTACCGCTGCGGATGGAAGCAGGGTGAGAGGACTTAGCGGTGAGAGGCTCAAGGAAAGAATTCACGCGTGAGAGGGTGGAATATCACGTGATCTGAACTCGGATCGATTTGAGTAAAATGCCGTATCACGATTTTAATAACGACAGTATGCTTACAGTTGAGAAGTCTATGAGTATGACGGAATGAGAAGTCTTTTAATCACTTGCACGGGTCGATATTACTGATCGAGAGCCGGCCTCGTGATGTGTAGATGCCCGTGAGCCGTGTCCACGCGGCGCCGGCGTGCGCGATGCGTGGTGCGCCTGAGCCGCCGGTGATGCTGTATCTTGAGCTGTCCGGGATGAGTCGCACTGGTGTGAGATCACTACGTGTCCACACTGAGTCTAATCTCTGGTGAGAAGGTCCACTAGAGCACTTGAGAATCTTTAGCACTACACGACGCGTGTACTATGTACGGTAGCCATGAGCCAAAAGCGCCGGTAACGTACGTGAAGAAGCGCCGTCGCCTCGTGTCCATAGACTTCTATAGACGGACCCTTTGTACGAGGGGTAACTGATAATCGCGGTAAGGGGATCACTCGTCTGACTTCGACTCTTTCCGGTGAGGTTCGGTAATATTCGGTTCACATTTCCAATACGTGTGCACACGTCCCCTCCAATCATCCCCTCCAACTTGGAGTGGGGATGATCCGTTCGGCCACGCGCGCGCGCGCACGCTCGCACACAAGCAACGCGCCGTATATATGTGTGCACACGTATTGGAAATGTGAACTGAATATTACCGAATCTCACCGGAAAGAGTCGATGTCAGATGAGTGCCTCCCGCGCCCCGAATATCAGACCCCTCTTGTCCAGAGTCGTAGCTTATGCTCCGTCTATAGAAGTCTATGCTCGTGTCGCGATCGGGCATGCGCGCGCAGCGCTCCTGCGGCGCTGCACGATCTGACCCGACTGATGCTGCCATCACGCCGGTGACGAACTGACCGAGATTCAGAAATGAATCTCGAACACTAATTTATTTCTAATATAATTGTTTACGGTCATATCTATATTAAAATCACCCATTATTATAACATTATTATTCTGTATTACACTTATACATATTTCCTTCAAGTA